CTATGTTACCCTTGGAATTCCTTCCAGCTCACACTTCCCTCCCTCCAGGCAACATCCCTTGTTTCACGGCCTCCTTGAGTGTTTTCGCCTGGATGGAATGTGGGGAATGCTCTGGCGAAACAAACCCCTGGAGTCGGCAGGTTTGCAGACTCTGCTCACCAGCTGGTGAGTGGAAAGTGCAACCCTGCTCAGCTTGGCTGCACACACCTGTTCCCAAGTTCAGAACAGAGACACACACCCAAAGCTCAAAACAGGGCTTTTTGAAAGCCCTTTTGCAAGCAACACCATGTTGCTGCTTATACCGGTTTTCAGAAGGTCAATGAGCAAGGTGGGGCTGTTTGCAAAAGCTCTTTCAAACAGCTCCATGCTGCACTTTGAAGTCCCAGCAGTTGGGACTTCAAAGCACAGCGTCAACTGATGTCACTATGGCATCAAGTGATTGGCAGCTTGCAGAAAAGGCCCCCCACCCCTGGTATAGACAATGCTGAGCTAGAGGGACCAATGGTTTGGTTTCGTAGAAGGCAGCTTCCTATGTATATCATGAAAAAGCTCCACCAATTTTGGATTAGCCTTGGTTGCTTTCTGAAATCTGTGCTTGCCACCCACCCTGCTCCTCCCCCAACTTGGGGCAGGGGTGTCCTTTCCAGTGTTGCTCTATAAAGACATCTTGCTGCTTTTTGAGTGTATCAAAGGTTCAGCTTGATAACAGGGAGACCATTTGTCTTTCTCCTGGACCTGGAGAAGTTTGATGGGCTTCCGCTGACCTCAAAGTGAGCTTCTCTTGCCAGATTAAAAGATGCACTCGCCAACAGCATGCCTTCTCCTGAACCTAGGAAAGTTTGGTGGACTCACATGGAGCTTGCCTTGCCAGATGCACCCCTACCGGAAGAGGCATAGCACCCATTTATTCTTGTACATGTATAGACCAGGAATTAGGAGGGGTGGGTTTTTTTAAAAAGGGAAATGCAACAATGAGGAGGCTGTGAAGCTGATTGCCGAAGCAGTAAAATCCATTAAGGACCAGAGGGGTGAAGAGTGCTAGCTCCTGTAATACTAATAGAAAGCTTCTTCAAAGGAGACCTAAATGCAGAAGGAAACTATTCAGAGAGAGACAGAGAGAAAAAAGACTTGCAGAGTCTCCTGCCAGGAAAAAGGCAAGGAGGGGAGGTGGAAAGAACTGTGTTTTGGGGGAGCGGGGTGCCAAGGAAGTTAACCATTAACACAGTGCTGCCCAGCACCCAACCTCCCTGCTGGCTCAAGTGATTTCACAGCGTTGTTCTCCGGGAAGAGCAATGGGACACCACAAATTCAAAGCAGCCAGCAAAAAAAAGCCACAGCGATGAACAAAAAGGGTCCATCTCATTATACTTTATGAATGGGCATGGACATCTCCTTTTTATATGCTTCATAGGGTCCATCAACATGTGCTGGATGGCGCCCATTAGGTTCCATCGCTGGCCAGATGCATGATGTCACACAGTATAACCAGAGCAATTGGAAACAGACCAGGCAAAATCTCATCGTTTCACCCAGTAACTCACTGGGAGTTTCGCCAATAACTTGTGATCTCACTCTTCGGAGAGAAAGCAGGGGGAGAGCGTGGGGTGGGCGGGTGGGAGGCATGGGCAGGGATGCTAGATAGCGTGCTTTAGAAACCCCCCCAACTTTGCATTTTTGACCTCCCCGTTTTCGCCGAGGCAAATGTCGTGGGAAGTCTCTAAGGCGATGGCATCCAAAACTGGCTGGGGAAAATGAGCAAGCTGATTCTTCAAGGGGGAGGAGGGTCTCTCCCTCTCCCTCTCCCTCTCTTCAAAATAAATAAATAAATAAAACATGCCTGGGGTTCTTTGTTTCAGTATCTTGGATACCAGAGAACTCCCACGCTTGTCAAAATTGAAGGCCAGCGACAATAATTACTGGGGGGGTGGGGAAGGAATTAAAGAGGAGCCCCAACGATGCAAAAGTGCATATTAAAGGACAACGGACAACGATGATATTTAAACAGCAAGATGAGCCAAGATAAACATGCACTTAAAAATAAATAAATAAACAATTCACTACAGTGAGCGCTAGTTCTTGATTTCAATGCATGAAACGCAAACGTGTGTACTTTTCTGCAGAAATATAGTGATTACATTGAACAAGCACCCGAATTTTATATCAGCATTTAAAGTTTTCAAAAAGAACAAACCGTCTGAGCTCACTGGTGACGATGAACAACGGAAGACACCAGCCCATCAGCATAAATTCAATCCCAATTAAAACTTCCTCTTCGCTTCTAATCCCCGAAAGCACCTTATTTCATCTGAAACCTTTCCTAACGTTAGCTTACAACCTGATTGTTTAACGTCCCTCTTTTCCCAAGCAAGACCTAAAGAGTCTGTTTTTCAAACGAAGCCCGTTGGAGGAGCAGTGCCAACTTCACAATGAAACAAACGGAGCGCGTTGCCCTTTTAAGGCGAGAAAGACCCTGTCTCCTATTAGAAATTGACATGTAGGGAAACTTCCAGCTACAAGCTCAATCCGCAGACAATCATAAAACAGCCAAACCTTTGTTTATCGCTGTCCAGTGCTGGGCAAGTATGTGGAATGCCTAAATGGGTGGGGTGAGAGCCCTCCATGCACAGTTCAGACAAGAATTTGTCCCCCTGCCCTCGAAGAGAGAGAGAGACGAAACCCCCCACCAACTGTACTTTGCAATCTGTAACGCTGAGAATGCTTTAAGCTGTTTGTTTCAGGCTGGCAGACATCCCAGCGCACTGGCCAAGCACATGCTGTAGCAGGGAAAAAGAATTAGCACACTCAATAGAGCCTTATATGCTACTCAATATAAATTATGACCTTTGGCAGTTTTGCTCATCATGACTACTCCAGAGACTATGTGTGGAACTTCAGCAGTTAGCAGATGGGGGGGGGGGGGGAGAAGCCTGGCCGTTCCAATTCCAGTTTCAGATCAAGCGGAATAGCCAAGACCGCTCCTATTCCCCAACAGACAGGGAAACAGGGAGATTCCATCCAAAAAATAAATAAATTACATTTTAAAACTTGGAAGGAAAAACATCTGTAAGTCACAACAGCGGACAGCACGAGCACATTATTACCAAAACGAGGTGGATGCAAAGGCAGTCGTTTCTGGAGCTGTTGAAAACCCAGTTTTCAAGGATAAGGGTTTTTGAAAGAATTTGGCAGCCAGGTGTCTTTTGTCTTTGTGACCTCCCTTTCCTTTCAGAGCTGAAAGCAATGGAAAGTTTCCTCTATCGTGCACACACAAAATGAACCAGGTTTGGGGTTTTCCATGGAGCAATCCATAATTTGGAACAGGACAGAAGTGGGATGAAAAGGCAACAAAATTAGGAAGCCAAATTGTCCCCGAAAGCCACTAGTTCTGTAGGGCCACTCAACAACCAGCTTAAGCGCATGTCAACAGGGGTGGTGGTGTAGACCTCACCTGGCATGCAACAATCTTTCTGGTTTGTTGTTATCCTGAATATTTTTAATGTCTCTTCATGCTGTGCAGTTTTCGTCTCTGAGAAAGGCAGATGGAGGGAAAATGCAAGAAGCTATAGGATTGACTTTCGGTGGTATGTACTGAAATGATTTACCAGGGATTTGCTAGCCCTTTTACAACATTTTAACCACTGTGCACAGAATCTGCAAGGGTGGATTTATTTATTTATCCATTGCTTTCTTTGTCTTCCTGCCTGCCTAGCTGCTTGCCATATACACAGACCTGTGGCATAATTAATCCAGAACAGCATGAACCTTAGTGATAAATTGGACCATCACTAACCGGAATTAGAATCTCCTCCAGTCCTACAAAAGGGAGATCTGCTTTTATTTCACTGCTCTTCAGTGACCACGATGGGAGGGAATGTTAAAAGTTGCCTTAAAAGCGTGTTAAGGGGGAACTAATCCACTTGAAGCCATTGTAATGATACGGCTTCCTATGTCAGAATCCAGTTTCCTAATCCACAGAAACAAATTTGGAGCAACTTCAAGAAAGAGGTGGCTGTTATTCCGGATTAATTGGAGGTGGCCTTTTGAAGGGGTCAGAGTTGCACCATCACACCCATGGCTGCAGGGCACACAGGTCACTAAAACTGTATGGAATTTGATCTGTTAACACTTTGCAAGGTGCTGCACACCAGGCTGATAACTTGACATGCTTTGGATGCACAAGGCAAACTTAGAGAGAAAAGTGAGGGCAGCTGAGAAAACAGGAATTATCCTATTATTGTTGTTGTTCTTAATATTATTGCTTTCATTTAGGGAAAATAAGAAGGCTGCACTCAACCCTAAGCCCAAGAAGTGGGGGAGGTTGGAAATTCAACAAACTGACTCAAAAGGCATGCGGAAAGGGAAGCAACTCATTGGCAGAGCTGATGCATTGCGTGCAGAAAATCGTTGGTTTGATCCCCAGCAACTCCTGGTAAGGCTGGGGGAGGACCCCCACCCCGAGGATGGATCTACTAGGAAACTAATAAACCTTAAATTTCAGGAGCACTCATCCCAGAGGGGCCCCAGAAGCGACTTCAATCCACATTGCTTAATATATATATATATATATTTATTATTCACACCAGTGACTTGGACATGCGAGACAATCCACTACAGCCATTTTAATCCAAACCTGAGATCTAGTAGTTTTAAAAAAGTGGAGATCTGCCATGGGACAACCCCACCGAAGATGATAACAGTGGTGACCCGCACCTGGTTGGGAAAGGGACCACCTTAGCAGTTCAAGCTTCAGAGCTCCAGAAATGTAGGTCTGCCACCTTCAGCCCCCTTCCTGGCTGCTGCCAGCCAGTGTAGACAGCACTGAGCTATGTGGTCCATCGAAGAAGCCCGCTTCACCTGTTTCCATGGGACGCTCCCCAAAAGGGAGAAGAAACTCCGCCAGCGACCCCCTTGATTTTACCAGTGGCCTGGGTACCACCCCGGAGGCAGGAGTTCTCGCCGGGAGCATCCTCTCCCCCAGTGCGCCAGCCGCTCCCACTTACCAGCTGTAAAGTGCAGAGGAAAATTAGGGTGCAGCGCCCCGTACAACACGCCATCCTTCCCGAGCCTTGGGGGACCCCGCCGGCGCCTCACCCAAGGGAGCGCCTCACCACGACCTCCCGGCTACCATCTCCAAGTTCAGCGGCGCTGCGCTGCGAGAGGAAGAGACTCCAAAGCCCGCAAAGCTTCTGAGTCCTTCTTCCAGACTTTCTTCTTCTTCTTTCTTCCTCCTCCCCCCCCCCCACCCTGGGAAGCAGCCGGGCTTGAGCTGAGCTAACAGCTGCTCCGAGCAGCCAGGGAGGTGCTCCTAGCGCTTTGTGAAAGAGCCCCCGCCAGGGAACCTCCACCTTGGATGGATGGATGAGTGGGTGGGAGATTGGGAGCGCGGGTGGGGGGGGAGTGGGTTCTTAAAAGGGCCATGCCACGCGGAGGTGGCCACCTTCCCCGCGATTGGTTGCGAAGCTGCCTCGCAGAGACGAGAGTGGCCCCCATTGTCTTTTGGTTTGCATTTTAATTGCAATTAAATTGCTACTACTACTACTGTTATTATAATACATTTATACCCCGCCTTTCCCCCCTGACAGGGACTCCAGGCGGCTTACAGGTGAAAATAATAACAGCTAAAAACATAGTGAGGCAGGGAGGGAAATAACCGTTAAGAAACAATTAAACAGAATTAGAGCTATATATTTGTATGGAAAAGAAGGCTGATCGCCGAAGAATTGATGCTTTTGAATTATGGTGCTGGAGGAGACTCTTGAGAGTCCCATGGACTGCAAGAAGATCAAACCTATCCATTCTTAGGGAAATCGGCCCTGAGTGCTCACTGGAAGGACAGATCCTGAAGCTGAGGCTCCAATACTTTGGCCACCTCATGAAGACGCCCTGGAAAGGAACCTAATGTTGGGAAAGATGGAGGGCACAAGGAGAAGGGGATGACAGAGGACGAGATGGTTGGGCAGTGTTCTCAAAGCTACCAGCATGAGTTTGACCAAACTGCGGGAGGCAGTGGAAGACAGGAGTCCTGACGTGCTCTGGTCCATGGGGTCACGAAGAGTCGGACACGACTAAACAACAACAACATATGTATGGAAATATATGTGTATATGTACACACACACACAGTGCTTTTTTCTGGGGTGAGGCAGGGGTACACATACCCCTAAACTTTTTGTGAATTTAAGTTTGGCCTCATTGAGGGGCAGTATTTAAATACGAGTAGGAAAATGAGAGTTCCTGTAAACATTTCTATTAGAAAAAAGCAGTGTGTGTATGCATAAAAACTGAATTGAAACTATGTCTACAATAGCAATGATTGTCATTTTAATTGTACAAACTAATGTTGTACAACTAGTTTGACAGCCTCCAAGTAAGCCACAATGTATTTTGCCCTTTTCTTGTAGCTGGTGTGGTGTAGGGGTTTGAATGTTGGACTAGGGTGGAATTTGCTCCCAAACGTGAGGGGTGGGCAACTTGAAAAAAATATTGGGGGGGGGTAAGCCCCACTCCACATAATCAGTCACATGACACAGCACACACACATCATCTGAATGCCCATAGACTTTGGAGGGGGTGGGCGGTACCCTCAAATATTTTATGGGGGGGGGAGAGAAGGGATCTTGGCCCCAAGAGTTGGCTGCTATGCTCCCAGAGGAGGCAGGGATGAGCACAGACTGAGATGGCTTTAAAAGAGGATGAGACAAAATCATGAAGGATAAGGATATCAATAGAAACTAGCCATGATAAACCATAGAATCACAGAACCATAGAGTTGGAAAGGACCACAGCACAGTGCCGGATTTATGTATAAGCTAAACAAGCTATAGCTTAGGGCCCCACTCTCTTGGGGGCCCCCAAAAAATTTAAAGGAAAAAAATCTGGATGTACATTTCCAAAATATAAGTTAAAAAACAAAAACCTACATACAGCAACAGTGTTTTGTGTTGTGTAGGCTCCTATGATGTAAGTAATGGGCCCCGCCTGCTAGTCTGCTCCCTAAAATATCCCTAGTTTGCTCATTTCTATATATAGGGTGCCTACATTCTCAATGTGCAAATAGCTTTAGATACCTATTAGGTTCATAAATTACCATATAGCATATTGTTGTTGTTGTTTAGTCATTTAGTCGTGTCCGACTATTCGTGACCGCATGGACCAGAGCATGCCAGGCACTCCTGTCTTCCACTGCCTCCCACAGTTTGGTCAAACTCATGTTGGTAGATTCGAGAACGCTGTCCAACCATCTCGTCCTCTGTCATCCCCTTCTCCTTGTGCCCTCCATCTTTCCCAACATCAGGGTCATCATGATGACTTTTACCAGGTAGTGGTCATTGAAATTTGAAATACTTTATTGTCACTTGTACAACTTCTATACAGTGAGATTATACGAGGAACCTTCACTCAGCTCTCTTAGTCTTAATTCCCCTCGTTTACTGACACACACACACACACCAAACCCGAAAGTCAGTTGCCCTGTTGTTATCTTTTCATTCAGCAGCCTAACAGCCCATGGATAGAAGCTGTTCTTTACCCTGTTGGTGCGACTAATCATGTTTCTGTATCTTCTGTCTGAGGGCAGGAGATCAAGAAAGTGCTGGCCAGGGTGTGAATCATCCCTGAGAATTTTCTTCACTCTCCTGAGGCAACGTTCTTCTGCAATGTCATCCAGCGGATTCACGGGACAGCCCATAATATCTTGTGCTGTACTCACCACCCTCTGTAGGCACTTCCTATCAGTTGGTGTCAAACCAGCGTACCACACCATAATGCAGTATGAAAGGACACTTTCTATTGTGGACCGGTAGAAGGAGATCATCAAATGTTGATTGACATTGTTATTTCGCAATATTCGGAGGAGATGGAGTCTCTTGCATTGCAGGGGGTTGGACTAGATGACCCTCGTGGTCCCTTCCAACTCTACAATTATGTGGTTCTGTGATTCTAGGAATCCCTGATTTGAATTGCCAGGGCTTTCCATTGCCTGATCCGATGAAACCTACAGTAGTACTTGGATCACACCGTAGCTCATGGGATAGAAACGTCAAATTTACTTACGTTCATGAATCATGACTGATGAAGCAGTCTTCCCTTTTGCAAAATTGATGGTGTGGCAGAGAATCTGAGCATAGCATCTCTGCTGTAAACCCCTTTGCATTTCCTGAATAAATATATTTTTAGAGAGAGAGAGAGAGATAAGCAATAAAGAGCAAGAAGGGAGGTGATACCTTTTTATTTGATTATTAAAACATCAAACTAAATTGAACACACTTGCTGGAATCATACACCCAGTGGGCTACGAGAAATGAATAGATAGGGAAGAGATAGACACAGAGAAAGGAGAGACCTGTATATCAAATGGCAGGAGTATAAAAGAGCAGAAAAATAAAATAATTCAGATGCCTTTGCCCATCAAAATGACAAACGGAACACGGAACACACAAAGGAGAAATGTAAAGCAGAAATGAAAACATGAGGCAAGAGTTGTTCCCCACTCTATACAACAATTTGAAATGCATTATTAAAAACAGTTAAATTACAGACACAGGAACAGGGCTGAGGAACCCATTCACATGTGTGTTGCTATTTGATTTCCACACCTCCTTTCAGCAAAGGCTCCCCAAAAGGCTAACACAACAAGATTAATTCAAGCTGGCTGGATATTGAAATCAGCAAACAGTAATAAAAGAGAAGAGAATGTGGCAGGGAGAATAAAAAATCCATCCCCCATTTGAAGCCCATAAGAATGCAGGTCTCCTCACCTGGCACAGGAGTGACATTTATGGCTTGATTACAATGGCAATGGAAAGTGGGGACTTGCGCATGAGACAGACGCAGTCATGGATAAAACCCCACAAACCCAATTGCTGCTCAGCTGCTTGACACCTAGCGGGAAGACCAACACACCCACACAGACCTTTTCTCTTTTTTTCATTCCCTGCTTTCCCAGTTCTGTTTGACTGGTTCTTCTAGGATAAGTGTAGTTTGGGTAATCTTTACAACAGCCCTGCAAGGCGGAATCATGATCATCCTCACTCTCACATTGCAGGTAGGGCTACGGTTCCTTCTGGGTGAGCACTGATCCTGACTTGTTTGCACAAAGTTTGCGGGGAGGTCACTGAAACACCAAAAGCCATTTAAAGAGGATTTGTTCTGGTTTGCTTGCAGGGATAGTATAGAATGGACTCAATAGGGAGCGGGTGGTGCTGTGGTCTAAACCACTGAGCCTCTTGGGCTTGCCGATCAGAAGGTCGGCGGTTCGAATCCCCAATATGGAGTGAGCTCCCGTTGCTCTGTCCCAGCTCCTGCCAACCTAGCAGTTCAAAAGCATGCCAGTGCAAGTAGATAAATAGGTACAGTGTGGCGGGAAAGTAAATGGTGTTTCCATGCGCTCTGGTTTCTGTCACAGTGTTCTGTTGTGTCAAAAGCAGTTTAGTCCTGCTGGCCACATGACCCAGAAAGCTGTCTGTGAACAAATGCTGGCTCCCTCAGCCTGAAAGCAAGATGTGCACCACAACCCCATAGTCGCCTTTGACTGGACTTAACCATCCAGGGGTCCTTTACCTTACCTTTTACCTTTACAATGGACGTTGTACAATAAAACATTTTAAATGTGTATCAAAGTGCAATATACAGTGGTACCTTGGGTTACATACGCTTCAGGTTACAGACTCCGCTAACCCAGAAATATTACCTTGGGTTAAGAACTTTGCTTCAGGATGAGAACAGAAATCGTGCAGCCGACGGCGCAGCGGCAGCAGGAGGCCCCATTAGCTAAAGTGGTGCTTCAGGTTAAGAACAGTTTCAGGTTAAGAACGGACCTCCAGAACTAATTAAGTTCTTGACCTGAGGTACCACTGTACACATGTGACACTAGATGGCGATAGTGAGCTATGCCAAATGCAATGTATTTTTCAAAATGTTTTCATGTGTGTAGATTCCATCAATATTGTGTCAAGCGATTGCTATCCCGCTTTGAGGTTTCATTACAATTGTATATGATCATACAATCATAGAAATGTAGAGGTGGAGGGAACCCCCCGAGGTTCATTTAGTCCAACGCCCTGCAAGAAAGGAATGTTAAAGCCAGCTGTCACAGCCAGCGTTGGAAGACTTTGGCTCACGCAGTAGGAGAAGCCAAGAGCATTACTGCAGACACACTGCAGAGTGTGACCAGCTAGTAATTCAATACAGACAACAAGTTTCACGTAGCACTAACACGAATTGAGTGTTTGATAGCTTGGCCATTTCCCAAACATTTTATAGCAGCCCCCAGAGAGAAGTGTTGGGCCTGTTTGTGCGAATAACTTCTTCTTTTTACAAGGTATCAGTCTTGGAAGATGGGAAGGGCTGGT